AGCCTGGCCTTGGGCACTGCAGGGATCAGGGGCAGCCCCAGCTGCTCTGGCAATGCCAGCCCAGGCAGGAATTGCTCATTGCCAAGATGCCACCCATGGCTGCCCTCTGGCAGTGGGAGCCATTCCCTGGGTGCTGTCCCTGCAGGCCTTGTCCCCAGTCCCCCTGCAGGCCCTGCCAGGGGCTCTCAGCTCTCCCTGACTGAACATTCCTGTCAGCCTGCCCTCATGGTAGAGACACCCCATCCCTCTGATCACCTTGGAAGAGGTTGGAAGCTTTTAGGTCTGTTCCTACCCATGCCATTCCCTGATTCCATGTTGATTTTCCCTGTAATATTCCATGAGGCACTGGGGGGAGTTTCTCCACAGGGAGCTGAGAACACTTCCCTGGGCAGACAGAACACAACCAGAGGGAGAGGCTCAGGTCCCAGCAGAAAGGCGTTCCCAGGAGAGATGAAGGCAGTTTTGGGGCTCTCCTGGCCTGTGCCATGTCCCTAAGGCTGCTCCCTTTGGTGCCTGCAGGAGTGACGAGGCCTTGCCCTGCACCGAAGCCACGTTGAACGGCCCCGCTTGATGCCACCGCCGCCCTGGGACGTGTGTGAGCCAGGCCAGGCTGCTCCCTGGTGATGCAATTTGTCAATTCTTTATTTTTTTTTTTTCATTTTAATTTTATTTTTTAATAAATGCTGCATTGATGAGAGCGAGCTGGCGTTCAGGACCAGACACGCAGATCCAACAGCACCGATCCGTTCGGAAAGACACTCGGCATTGTCGAAATGTAGCATTGAGTTCAGTCCTCACGGGAATGACGGGCTCTTCCCAAGCCTTCTGCCTGATTTGAGTTGTCCCCTTCCCCGTGCCCCTGGTTTTTGTTTTGGATTTGGGGTTCAGTGCTGTTTTCCCAGTGTTATTGCACACAGTATTCAGCTTCTCTTGGGAAGGTAGCAGGTCCAGCGGCGGCCGGGGCCAGCGCACAAATCCCGCAGCCGTGTGACCAAAGTTCCTGATGGAGCTGTCCTCGGGCAGCCTTTGCACCGCTTTGTAGAGCAATAAAGCCTTACCAGAAACATTTCACAGGAGAGGAGGAATGCCAACACTTCCGTGGGGGGAGCAGGGAGGGCTTGGATTGGGTTGGCAGGGCCGAGGCCGGGGTTGTCCCTGGCCAGAGCAGGCAGTGACGCTGAGGCCCAGCTGTCCAGGGAACGGGATGTCCCTGCATTCCAGGGGATGTCCCCGCACTCCAGCGCTGCTCCGGGCTCTCCATGGACAGTGGTGGATCAGGGCAGGGGCTGGGCCGGGCACAGGTGGCCTCTCCTGCCGATGGCCGTGCTGGCCGCAGGGAACCCTGCCCGCGAGGAGGTGACCAGGGGTTTGCTGGCTCTTTGGAGACTGAATTAATGTATTTGCAAATGATGATGGAAATCCTTTTTCTGTTTGTTTTGTTCTGTTTTTAAAGTTTTTAATGGATGCAGGAACAGCAACACTTTTGCACTTTGTACCTGGTGATGACAGCGTTGGGGGAGGGCATGGGAGAGCCCTGGGGGACATGTGGGTCCCTCGGGGGCAATGGGAGAGCAGGGCCAGGTGAGGGGAGCACCTGGAGCTGGGATATGGGATATGGGATATGTGATATGGGATATGGGATGTGCCCAGGCTGGAGCTCTGAGCTCACTGCCAGCCCAGCCTGGGGGGCACATGAGGCACTGGGGCAGCTGAGCTGGAACCCCCAGCTTGTGGAATCCTGAAAAACCCTCCCTTTGGAGCAAAGGCTGGAGCTTGGCACACAGGGAGGCAGAGCGCTGCTTTGGGATGCGTTCCTGGGAGTGGGAAGGGCCTCCTGCTCCCAACAGGCAGAAATGCCTTGCTTGTGCTGTGGTGTCTGCTGGTGGGATGTGCTCAGCTGGGCTGGGGGGCAGTGGGGGAGCCAGGTGTTCCCACTTGGGGCTGCTCCTGTGGGTGCGAGGGCACCACTCCCACAGCCCTGGCCCAGCCCTGTGTGCCCAGGTCGGTTCTGCTCGTGGGGAAAGGCCTGGATGCCAGGAGCTGGGCTGCCGAGGTGCCTGGGATCCTGCAGTGGCTGGGGCTGTGGGCCGTGTGTGCTGCTGGCACTTCCTTGGGAATCAGTGGTGCAGGGCTCCTGTTCGGGAAGTTTTCACTTGCTGCGTGTAATTTAAAATTAATAATTTAAAGTTAATTGCACTGGGAGGGAAAAAAAAAAATCTCACTTTGTGCTTTGCTTCCCCCGCTTGGTGTTCAGGGATCAATCCCACTCCAGCCAGGACTCTCAGACAGGATCAGTGGCTTTGAGGTCCTGATTGGAGACACATTAAAGTCTTAATTTTCCAAGGATTGGTGCTAGAGTTCTGCTGGACATTGGGCATCCTTGGGGCCCCAGAGCTGATTCCATGGGAGCTGAAGGATCCACAGCCTGGCTGGATCCAGGGGATGCCAGGGTGCTCTTCCAGCCTGTTCCCTGTGCCTGCCCCAGGGGGATCAGGGATGCGGGGAATGTCCTCGGCAGGCACAGCTGGATCATCCTTGCCGTGGGAGCAGTGCTTCGGGTGGCTCTGAGGGACAGGACAGGGCCTGCACCCCGGGCTGCTGAGCTTTGGGAGCAGAGATTCCACCTGGACAGGGATGGGCAGCAGTGACCCCACGCTGGGGCTGGCTGTGCAATTCCAGCCTGGCATTCCTCAGCTTTGGCTTCGAGTCCCTGAGTGTCAGTGAGAGCTTTAATAATAATAATTATATTAATAATAATGATTATAATAATAATAATATCCTTGGGCATATCCAGAACTGAACACAGCTCATTACTGGGGGCTCATTAGTGGGTTAATTTATTACTTAGCGCTGAGACACATCACTGGGGCTGGTCAGACCTGTGGAGATGCACAAATTCCATGGGTTGGGTGCCTGTGGATGATCCCTCCACAGCTGGACTGAGGCTCTCAGTTCATTCCACCTCTGCACTCCCCTGGGCTGTTCTTCCCCCCAGGCAGGGCCCGACCCAGACCCAGCTCCTGCTGCCTGGGCTGCTGGGTTTGCAGCTCTGAGCAGAGCCAGAGCCGCTTCCTGGCTGCCTCCAGTGCTGGTGTGGGGAATCCAGGAATGGGAGATCCTTCTGAGGCAGAGCTTCCCGTCCCTCTGGAGACACGGTGGGTGTGGGGGCTTGGAGTGTCCCACCTGGGGTTTTCCTTCTCCCTGTGCTCCAGGAAAGGCTTCCCAGGCCTGGAGCAGGCTCTCTTGGCTTCTGAGCGTGGGATTCCCTGTCCCTGTGTCCCCTCATGCCCTGGCCCTGCTCCGTGCCCAGGTGATGGGGGCTCCCTCCAGGTCCTGCTCCGTGCTTCCCTCCTGCCTCCTTGGGATCTCCCATAATCACAGGGTGCCCTGGGGCTGTGAGGGTGTGCCTGGACACAGATCTGTGTCATTGCATGGATGTTCATCCACACACACTTGGATCTTGTGGGAAGCCTGGGAAGGGGGCACTGAGACACAAGGAGCTGGGTTTTTATCTCCAGGGTCAAGGCCAAGAGCAGCAAGGCCTGGTTCCAGGGGGATGGTTCTGGAATGTTCTGTGCAGTGGCTCTGCCTGCCTGGGCATCCATCTGGGCATCTGGTGATCCCGCTGTGCCAACTGCTCCACACTGGGGTGGGAGGGAAGGGGGTCCTGGGCACAGTTAGAGCTGAACCTCATCCCTTTGGCCAGTCCTGGGCAGTCCCTGGGTCGTGGCACGCCTGTCCTGGGTGGGATGTGGGAAGAATGGAATGGGCTCCTTGGGCATGGGAAAGCCTGTGGTGTTGGAGTGTCCCCATCACTGGCACTTCGGGTGCCCCTTCCCAGTGTCCCGGCTCCTGTGGGGGCCCCTGGGTGCAGAGGGAGGGAGGGCAGCAGGGTGGAGGGCTGGGAATCCCCGATCCCAGTGTGTGGAGCTGTGATCCCGTGGCAGTGCTGGGATTGAGCATTCCTGGGGCTCAGGACAGGCCGGGGGGTCTGTACCCCCTCAATCCAGGGTTATCCAGAGGTGTGTCCAGAATTGCTGCGTGTCCCAGGCCAGAGATCCCACTGCACCCTGCAAGGGCAACCAGCAGGGAATATTCCCATCATTCCCTCAGCAATTCCACAGCCAAAAACTTCCCTAAACCAGAATTCCCTCTCCTCCTGAGTCAGGCAAAATCCCGGGTGTTTGTTGGGGTCCTGTGTCCTCAGCAAAGCCCAAGGGAAATTGCCCAAGTGTCCCAAGGCTTGGCTGTCCCTGGGATGGAATCCCAAGGTTTCACCCCGAGGTTCCATCAGGAACATCTCTTGGAGAGCTGCAGGTGTGCAGGGAGTGGAAACCCTGGGGGCACAGATTGGAAAAAAAAGAAAATAAAAACCCCAAAAAGCCCAGTGTTGCCCTCAGTGTCTGTTCCAAAGGGCTTGGGCATCCCAGTTCCCAAACCTCGCAGTGAAAGGTTTGGAGTGAAGGTGCAGGGACATTCCCAAAGAACATATCTGAAGGAAATATCATTTAAATTACTTTCTTGTTCTCCAGTGGCATCCCAGAGTCATTTTTCCCACACTGGCCAGGGAGCTGTCATTAAAATCCTGATTTATCAGTGGCAATCCTTGGAGCTCATCCCTGTGCCAGGCCTTGAAATCCCAACCCCTCGGGGACCCCCCTCATCCTGAGGGGCCCTTTCTGCCCACGGTGGGTGGGCTGGGAATGGATCCATTGGAAAAAAACAGAATTGATGGGAAAAAACAGGATTGATGAATTGGTGAAGGACTCAGGGTGTATCCTGGGTGTAGCTGGGTGTAACTGGGTGTAACTGGGTGTAACTGGGTGTAACTGGGGTGTGTCCAGGGTGTAACTGGGGTGCACCCAGGGTGTATCCAGAGTCTGTCCGAGCCGTACCCGTCCTCCCGCTGTCCTGTCACTCATGGTCTGGCTCTGAACTGGTTTAAACTGGGGCTCCCTGGGCTCGCTGCTGCCCTGAGAGAATTCCTGGTCCCCTCCTCGTGTTGGGATTGGGAGCTCCTCCTGCCATTTCCCATCCCTGCTCCCCTGGCTCCGTCCTGTGCCGTTTCCCTGTGCTGTCCTCTGCGGGCACAGGATGTGCCACCCTGGCATCCTGGCCATGCCCTCAGGGAAGGGCTGGAGGCTGCTCAGTGTCCCAGGCTGGCACGCCTGGCACCCTTGGAATGGGCTGTGCTGCTGTGGTGAATCCATGGAAACCTGGGATGGAGGGCTTTCCTTGTGACTGTTCTCCCTCTGACTCCTTATTGGGATTTTTCCCTTTGCTCTGCCGAGATTTGGGATTTGGGATTTTGGTGTTCCCGGTCCGGAATCGGCTCTGGGATTCGGCAGTGTTAATGAATAATTAGTGAATAATTACCTGTGTTAGTTAATGACATGTGGCAGTGGCAGGAATGGTGCCCTTGAAGCGTTGGACCGACTCCAGCATTCCGTCAGTGGCAGTCTGGGATCCTTTGGAATTGGGTTGGATCAGTTCCCGTTGGTTTCATCCTGGGTAACGTTTCTGACTTCACCAGGAATGCTTGGGCTGAAATGGGAATTTTGATCCTGGGTTTTCCCTCTGTGGTGGGAAGTTCCAGCAAACCCAGGAGTTTTCCAGGTGTATTTAGGGCTGAGCTTTGGGACAAGTGGAAAAGGAACAATTTGGCTCCTCCCCGGTGGCTTTGCTCACCTGAACCTCTCTTACCTCATCCAGGAAGGGCTTTGTGGTGTCCCAGCTCCCACCTGGGTTTGTACAGAATTCCTGGTATTCCGTGGTGGTCCTCACCTCTCCCAGCAGTGGGATATTCCCATGGAAACTGTATTTTTGTATTTGATGCTGATGGGAAGAGAGGGATTTTCCTCTCTCCCTGAATTTGGGGCTTTTCTGGAGGGCAGAGCCTTCCCTTCTATTTTTGATTCCCTCCAATTCCTTGGACAGGTGGAAACGAGGGATAAATCCTTTCTCCTGTAATTTTGATGCTCAGAGGTAGTTTTGCAGAACTCTGTAGGAATTCTGGGAATGCTGTAGGGATTCCCCTGTGGGGGTGGCTTTGGTGCTTTTGCAGTGAGGGCACTTGGCTGGATCTCATGGATCCAAACACAAGGATCCACAGGCACAGCAAACGTTCTTCTCTCCATGGAAATGCTTCTCCCACTCTCCTCTTTCCCCAGCTGCTGCTGGAGAACCTCGAGTGGCCCTGGGGCACTGGGATTGTGATGGGGAATTCTGGCTGCTCCGCCCCAGAGCCCGGAGCTGGGCCTGGAGCTCCCTCGTTCCGTGCTCCGTGTGTGCCCTCCATGTCCTGCTGTGAATTCCTGCCTCCCTGGAGTCATCTCTGCTCCGTGGAGTCGTCCTTTGTTCCTTGCAGTTCCCTGATCCTCACATCTGGCTCGTGCTCCTTGCAGCTGTTCCCTGGCCCTCGTGCATTCCCTGCTCCCTGCAGCCATTGTGGAGCTCCTCAGCTCCACTCCTGGCAGTGACTTTGCATGGACACTTCAGCTCTTTCCCTGCTCCTCTCTGTGGTCCCAGCAATGTGCGAACTCCAGTCTGTGTCTGATTGGCCATGGCAGAATCTGGAAAATGTGGGAAAATCCCCTTCCCTTCCCTTCCCTTCCCTTCCCTTCCCTTCCCTTCCCTTCCCTTCCCTGACCCCACTATAAAACCCCTGATGTCCTATAG